CCCGTAGTGTCCAGCCATGCTGTCAGCCTCAGCCATCCAGGCTGGCAGGAAAGCCTCCCCCTTTCTCTCACATAAATTGTGGAGCACACAACATGCCGCCACCACGGGAGGGATGTTGTGCTCGGCCAGGTCCAGGCGGGTGAGGAGGCATCGAAAGCGGGCTTTCAGTCGCCCGAAGGCCCCCTCCACCACGATGCGGGCCCTGCTCAGCCTGGCATTGAAGGCCTACACGGGGCACCGCAATCCCTCCAGCCAGGGCTTCATCAGCCACAGCTGCAGTGGGTAGGCGGCATCCCCCACCAGGGTTCATTAACATCTGGAGCAGAGATTTCCCACCAGGCAGTGCTCTTCTGCTTTCGGAATCCCACAGTTCGCTGCAGTGGGTAGGCGGCATCCCCCACCAGGGTTCATTAACATCTGGAGCAGAGATTTCCCACCAGGCAGTGCTCTTCTGCTTTCGGAATCCCACAGTTCAGTGGAAGTGCTGTTCTCCATTCTGTATGCCAATGTAGTTGTCTGTCTGTTCTATTTTCAATGCAGATGAGACTGGGGTGTTTCCTTTATTCTATCACGCGTGTCTAGAGGGGTTTAGGTCTGTCTTTCCCTGCCTTTTTCATTGTTTTGGTTTTGGTTCAAACAGAGGCCTGGGGACGGGTGTCCTCCATGAGCATCACACCCTGCCTCTCCAACAACACAGAGCTGGTAGGTAACACAAGAACAGTGGTATAGCAAAGTTATATTATGTCCACCATATTCCTCCTATCCATCAAACCTGCCATCCCATGAAAGAAGGAAATCAAGCTATTTGGCATGAGATGATCTTCATAAATCTATGTTGAATACTAGTTATTCAGACACCAGGTGGTCACAAATGGAAGACATTCTACAATATTTTATAAATTACTCTAGTAGCTTCCCAGGTATTGAGGTCCGGTGAACTGGTCTGTAGTTCCCTAGCTCTTCCTTTTTCTTCTTTTTAAACATGGTTACTATGTTAACCCTTCTCCAGTCTTCCAGGACCTCTTCTGCCATGTATGTGTTTGAAAAATATTATTGCTAGTGGCTCCAAGATTTCTTCAGCTAATTCCTTTTTCATCCTAACATCCCATTGACTTAAACTTATTTAAATTTATCCACAGATCATAGAAATATGACATTAATATCTGGAATTTTTTCCTACAGGAAGCAAACAGATCAGACTGGTGAATGGGGCAGATCGTTGCTCTGGGAGAGTGGAGATACATCACAATGGCTCCTGGGGGACAGTCTGTGATGATTCCTGGGATTTATCAGATGCTGGTGTTGTTTGCAAAGAACTGGGATGTGGACAAGCCATCGATGCACCTGGCTCCGCTTATTATGGGCAGGGATCAGGGCAGATCTGGCTGGATGATGTGAGCTGCTCTGGAAGTGAATCCAAACTTCAGAACTGTTTCTCCAGAGGATGGGGTCAGCATAACTGTGGGCATGGAGAAGACGCTGGCGTTCTATGCTCAGGTCTGTTCTGTGAATGCTGTATTGATTCTGATTAATAATGGGTTAACATAAGAGGGGGGTGTTAACTAATAGAGAAGCCATAAAATGGGAAGAACCTGCACATGCCAGTGGAGACTCTCCTTGCTCGTCACACAATTTTTTTGACTTATATTCCTGTGGAATGGTAACCAGCCTTTGCAACCCTGCCAAACCCAAGAGTTCAGAAATAATGAGTCAGACCCTATAAATCAAGAAATTGGTTAAAAATGATGACATTTGAAATCGCAGGATCATAGAACCGTAAGCTTAGAAGATACTACAGGGATTCGCCGAGTGACAGACATTCAATTTACGAGCATCTGCGCATACAAACCAAAGCTCACCTGTAGCCGCAGTATGTCCTCAGGATTTATGGGGCCCTATGCAGTACTATTAAAATGGTGCCTCTGTATCCGAAGGCAGCCGGGGAAGGGGGTGTTATGATTTTTAGAGAGGTGATTTTATAATCTTCAGCAACACACTAGTGAAATATTTTTAAAACAAATTTTAAACTAACATCCTTCAGATTATTTCAGTAAATTCAGAAACTGACAGTATATACCCAGGCCTGTTAAATGATTTCATTACCTCTAGAATTGCTCTTTTACCAGTTCAGTGTTCTGCTACTAGATCTGTTACCCTGTGAAAAAGGAAATCAAGCTAGTTTGGCATAATATGCTCTTTGTAAATTGATAGTGATTTACAAATAGAAGACATTATACATCTACTAATACATTTCAGAGAGTTTCTCTGTTTGCTCAAGAACTCCTCTTAAATGGAAAAACTTAAAAAAATATCCTCTTAAATGGTAAGAGCAGATCCAGCAAATTCAGTATGCAGTTTCCACTTATCATAATTAAAAGCAAGATAAGGTTTGGAACAAATAGAAAAACTTAACGTCAACAAATCACCATGACCGGATGGCATTCATCCAAGGGTTCTAAAAGAACTCAAATGGGAAATTGCAGAATTGTTAACTGTGGTTTGTAACCTATCCCTTAAATTGGCTTCCATCCCTACTGACTAGAAGATCGCTAACGTGACACCAATATTTAAAAAGTGCTCTAGAGGCAATCTGGGCAACTACAGACCGGTAAGTCTTACGTCGGTTCCGGGCAAATTAGTCGAAACAATAGTTAAGAATAAAATTGTTAGGCACGTAGAAGAACATAATTTGTTGGGCAAAAGTCAACAGGTTTCTGTAAAGGGAAATCATGTCTTACTAATCTATTAGAGTTCTTTGAAGGGGGTAACAAACATTTGGACAAGGGGGATCCAGTAGATATAGTATACTTAGATTTTCAGAAAGCCTTTGACAGAGTCTTCACCAAAGGCTCTTGTGTAAATTACATTGTCATGGGATAAGTGGGAAGGTCCTTTCATGGATTGAGAACTGGTTAGAAGACAGGAAACAAAGGGTAGGAATAAATGGTAAATTTTCAGAATGGAAAGGGGTAACTAGTAGTGTCCCTCAAGGATCAGTCCTAGGACCAGTACTATTCAGCTTATTCATAAATGATCTAGAGAAAGCGGCAAGCAGTGAGGTAGTAAAGTTTGCGGATGATACTAAACTGTTTAAGATAGTCAAGACAGAAGTAGACTGTGAAGAACTTCAAAAAGATCTTACCAAACTGAGTGGTTGCGCAACAAAATGGCAAATTAAGTTTAATGTGGATAAGTGTAAAGTGATGCACATTGGAAAAAATAATGCCAACTATACATATAATATGATGGGGGCTAATTTGGCTACAAGAAATCAGGAAAGAGATCTTGGAGTTATCGTGGATAGTTCTCTGAAAACGTCCACCCAGTGTGCTGCGGCGGTCAAAAAGGCAAATAGAATGTTAGGAATTATTAGGAAAGGGATAGAAAATAAGACACAGAATATCTTATTGCCCCTGTATAAAACCATGGTATGCCCGCATCTTGAGTACTGTGTACAGATGTGGTCTCCTCACCTCAAAAAAAGATATTTTGGCCTTGGAAAGGGCTCCGAAAAGGGCAACTAAAATGATCAGAGGTTTGGAACTGGTCCCATATGAGGAGAGGCTAAAGCAACTGGGACTTTTCAGTTGGGAAAGAGGAGACTGAGGGGGGATATAATAGAGGTATATAAAATCATGAGTGGTGTGGAGAGGGTGAATAAAGAAAAGTTATTCATTAGTTCCCATAATATAAGGACTAGAGGACATCAAATAAAATTAATGGGTAGCAGGTTTAAAACTAATAAGCAAAAGTTCTTCACACAGATCATAGTCAGCCTGTGGAACTCCTTGCCAGAGGAGGCTGTGAAGACTAGAACTATAAAAGAGTTTAAAGAGAAGCTAGATAAATGCATGGAGGTTAGGTCCAGAAAAGGCTATTAGCCAGGGGGTAGGAATGGTGTCCCTGGCCTCTGTTTGTCAGAGGCGGGAGACAGTTGGCACGAGACAAATTGCTTGATCGTTGTCTTTGGTCCATCCCCTCTGAGGCTCCTGGTGCTGGCCACTGTCGGTAGACAGGCTACTGGGTTATATGGACCTATGGTCTGACCCAGTACAGCCATTCTTAGGTTCTTATGTTATGTTCTAATGTTTGGTTATGCCAGGAAAATGGGATCTGAGTGGAATGGGATTGCTTATCATAAAAGACAGAATAACCAGGCAGGTAAAAGGACCAGGCTGGGGAGCACACCCATCTCCCCATCTGGGACTGCCCCAACCCCAAGCAGTCCCACCCATCAGGCCTCCTTTAGGGAGGGACAGTAATGCACATTGGAAAAAATAATCACAGCTATACATATAATATGTTGGGGACTAATTTAGTTATAACTACTCAAGAGAGACCTTGGAGTAATTGTGGATAGTTCTCAGGAAACATTTACTCAGTGTGCAATAGCAGTCAAAAAAGCAAACAGGATGTTAGGAATTATATAAAAAGGGACAGAAAATAAGAGAGAGAATATCTTATAGCATCTATATAAAACGATGGTATGCCCACATCTTGAATACTAAATACAGACGTGGTCGCCTCATCTCAAAAAAGATATATTGATATTGAAAAAGGTTCAGAAAAGGGCAACAAAAATTATTAGGAGTTTGGAGCAGGTCTCATAGGAAAAGAGTTTTAAAAGACTTGGACTTTTCAGCTTAGAAAAGAGGAGACTAAAGGGGATATAATAGAGGTCTATATAATCATGACTGGTGTGGAAAAAGTGAATAAGGAAAAGTTATTTACTTGGTCCCATAACATAAGAACTAGAGGTCACCAAATGAAATTAATAGGTAGCAGGTTTAAAACAAACAAAAGGAAGTTTTCGTTTGTGCAGTGCACAGTGAACCTGTGGAACTCCTTGCCAAAGGATGTTGTGAAACAGGACTTTAACAGGGTTCAAAAAAGAGCTAGATAAATTCATGGAGGTTAGGTACATAAATGGCTATTAGCCAGGATGGGTAAGGAATGGTGCCCCAGCCTTTGTTTGTCAGAGGCTGGAAATGGATGACAGGAGAGGAATCCTGTGCTGATTACCTATTCTGTTCTCTCCCTCTGGTTCACCTAGCACTGGCCACTGTCGGCAGACAGGATACTGGGCTAGACAGACCTTTGGTCTGACCCAGTATGGCCGTTCTTATGTTCTTATTACTCAAGCTCCTCCCACTCTCCCCACCCCAATTCATATAGGAACATTTCTGGGTGTTTCCCTTCATCAGGGAGCGAGGGGAACATGCACAATGCAGGGGGCAGAAGAATCTGGACCTGTCTCGACAGAGGATATATGCCTCGTCCCCCATTTGTGCCTGCTGGAGCTACAACAGCCATGGACAGGCACGTCTCACCTGGCCCGAGCTGCTGTGTGAGAGAGGGCTGAGGTAGTCCTCTTTCCTGGGGGCAGCCTGCATACTGAACCCATCATCCTCAACCCCACCCCAGAGCAATGATTTAAATGAAGCATGCACATTTTTCAGGCAAATATTCTAGTTATTTTATAAAATGCTCTAGTAGCTTCTCAGGTATTGATGACAGACAGACTGGTCTCCTTCTTTTTATCTTTTAAAGGCAGGTACAATGTAACCTATCTCCTGTCTTCCAGGACCGCTCCTCTTATCCATCTGTTTGAAAATATTATTTCCAATGGCTCCAAGATTTCCTTAACTAATTCCTTTTGCATCCTAATGTCATTAGCAATGGGCCCTGCTGACTTGCATTCACATTTTAAGGAGATAATCAGAAATATGATATTAATATCTGGAATTTTTCCACAGAAAGCACACAGCTCAGACTGATGAAAGGGCCAGATCGTTGTTCCGGGCGTGTGGAGATTCGTCACAGTGACTCCTGGGGGACAGTCTGTGATGATTCCTGGGATCTATCAGATGCCAGTGTTGTTTGCAAAGAACTGGGATGTGGACAAGCCATCGATGCACCTGGCTCTGCTTATTATGGGCAGGGATCAGGGCAGATCTGGTTGGATGATGTGAGCTGCTCTGGAAGTGAATCCAAACTTCAGAACTGCTCCTCTGGAGGATGGGGTCAGCATAACTGTTGGCATGGTGAAGATGCTGGAGTTCTCTGTTCAGGTCTGTTCTCTGAATGCTATGTAGAATATTTTTAATAATGTATTAATATACGAGAAAGGTGACCAGATATCCTGTTTTTAAAAGAGCAACCCTATATTTAAGCCCTTTTGCAGGTATCCCAACTTTTTCTTTAAAAACGGGAAAATTTTCCTGTATTTTCTGTCATCCACCCCATCGAACTTGCAGGTCCTTCCGGTGGTCAGATCCTTGTTCACCAGTCACCTGCCCATTGTTGGTGAGTAGGGGGTTCCTGTAGCTGGCCAAGAAGGTGGATATGCAAGGAAGGTGGCAGGTCGAAGATGTGGCATGTAAAGCTGGTTGCTCCACCTGCTTGTTCAAAAGTAGAAGCCCTCGACACGTTAGCTCTTGGTTAGAAGGGCTTTGCTCTCACGCCCCATTTCTGGCTGGCACTGGCTGAGTGCTATGAGATGTGGATTCTGGTGTAAATGGGCAGGTGCAGGAAGTGGCTGGTAAAGTGTCACCTCTGCTGCTCATGCATCAGCTCTCTACGTACCTCTTTTCTCCCTAGTATCTCTCTGCCAAGACGCTTCAGCAGCCCCAGTCCTGGTGGTCCTCTATATTCCTTCCAGCATGGTGCATCCTACTCCCAGAACTGTGTGCAGAACAAGCCTCTGGCCAGAGTGCTCAGCTCAGCCTGGCTCTTTCTTCCTTCCCCCACTGCCTCTGGCTGGGTCAGTGCCTTGGGAAAGCCCTCTGGTCTGGGGCATGGGCCAAGAGGATCCAGAGCACTGCATGTGCCAAACCCCTGCACACAGCTGGCACAGTGGCACTGGAGGAACACAGAGAGCGATTTCCAGCCTATTCAGACCTATTCCACTGCAGCCCCTTCCCCCAGACAGGGGCTCAGGGCTATAGCAGGGAGAAATCTCTCTCCCTGAGCCCTGAAACTGCTGGGGCCAGAGGGGAGGAGCCCCCTCCTTATTGGGCCCAGCACCAAGCTGCCATGGTCAATGTAAAGCAGCCCCTCCCAACTGGCCCCAGAGTAGAGCTGCCATGGCCATGCAGCTCCAGCACTGAGTTGCCACGATCTCATCAGGGAGTCTCTCAGGTAAGCCTGAGGCACAACCCTCTGTCCCACCTGGAGCCCCTCCCCATCCCTGAGCATCCTCCTGCACCCCAAAATGCACACACCCAGCCCAGAGCCTGTACCCCCTCCTGCACCCTAACTCCCACACCTAAGCCCTTCCACAAACCTGAAGCCCCCTTCTGTACTGCAAATCCATCATGTCCAGCCACAATCCAGACTTGCACGTTCACCCACAGTTCTTAGACCCCGACCCTCTGTCCCAGCCCTGAGCCCTTCAACACCAGCCCCACCATAGAGCCCCATCTCGAAACCTCACAGTCCTGTGCCCCAACCCTCTGCCTCCAGCCTGAGCTCCCTCCCACACTCAGAACCCCTGGGCAGTACCCCCCACCACACAAATTTTGTCACACAACACCTCCACACTGGTGCGCATAAGAAAATTAATTCCATTCACAGGTGGATAAAATTAGAGGGACACTGCTTCGCGTCCTCTTTAAACACTCCCACAGCCAGCCCTGGGTCCGTCCCCTATGAGTACAGGCTGCTTCATCCACTAGCCACTGCCTCCAATGAACTACCTCTCTGACCAAGTTTGCTGAAGACCCTGCAGTGAGGCTCCCTGGTCCCTGCTGGTCCTTTGCAACCTTAGGGTTAAACCTCTTCCTGCCTGCACTGCAGCAGGTGACTGGAAGCAGCTGAGTTATGTTAGTGGCCAGTAGTAACCTGGAAGTGTTAGCTACCTTTCAACTCTGTGCAGGCAGGAAGGGGCAAGCTGCTTCTAGCCACAGAGGAGGTGAGGAAAAAAGATCAGCTCTGCAAAAACAAGGACCAGGCATCTCTTCCCACCCCCATCCCCTGTGGCTAGAAGTATCTCATGTATCTTGCATCCCCCACAGTGCAGAAAGCTGTTGCCTTCAGCATTCTGGTGTGAACCTTGATAGAAAAGTGCCTCCCATGTGCATCTCCCCGTATTGCCTTGGGAAGATGCAGCGTCAGGTACCAGGAGAGGTAGGCCCGTCCCATGGGTACAATCAGACAGGAGAGTGGAGAGCACAGGGCAGAGAGGGTTCAGTCAGTTGTTCACCTATCCCCACATGAGAGAGATGAATGGAAACACATGTAAGTCACCTTTCTCCATGTACGAGTGGCGTGAGTGACTCTCCTTGCCATGTGAACCTTAAAGTCTTAAAGATAAGAAGGTAAATAAAAAGACTCCAACTACACAGTATTTCTTTAAACAGCGGTTTACTCAACTTGATATTAATTTTAAGGTTTGTACTTCATAGTTCTATTTGATTGCTGTTTAACTTGCTTGAATACAAGTAATTTTAGCAGATGGTCCCATGTTCAGGATAGGGAAACATACTCACCATAACTAAGAAGCTATACAATGAGAAGAATCTGAATATGCCAATGAAGAATTCCCTTGGTCACATGATTCTTTTGACATTTATTTCTGTGGAATGGTAAACAGCCTTTGCAATTCTGCCATCCCAAGTGCTCAAGAGTCATGAGTCAAGCCCCATTAATGAGGAAATTGATAAAAAATCATGGGATTCCAAGTCATAGAACCATAAGTTAGAAGGGAGTATAGGGGACATTTAATTTATCCTCCAGTAAACATGCAGGGTTTGGTGTGTCTAAACCATACAGGACAGACAGCAATCCAGCCTTCTCTTGAAAGTTCCTGTTGAGGAGCTTCCATGACCCTTTCTGTTCCATTGATGAACTCGTCTTTCAATTAGAAAATGTATCCTCAGAGTTAATTTAAGTCTGCTATGCTGTAGTTTGAATCCATTGACTGTTTGCCTTTCATCTGAGGCAATAAAAACAGCCTGTGAAGGGGAGAGTGTACCCCACACTGAAGGCGGTGGGGCTAAGACTCTGTGGGTGGAGGAAGTCCCGCCCTTTTTTCCAGACTGGGCATGCTCCAAGTGCTGGAGCAGCATATGAGGCAGCAGAGCAGCTCAGTTGGGGTGGACCACCAGGGGAGAAGGAGTTCAGGCTGGAGCTCCTGAGCCTCCCCTTCAGCAGCTGCAGCAGCCACCACTGCTGCTGCAGCATCAGCCAGAGCCACCCCAGGAGCAGCGACTCTGGCAGCAGCAGCTTCAGCCCCAGTAACAGCCCCAACTAGGGAGGCCATCCACAACAGTCGGACACACCGAGCAATACCCCGAGAGCTGAGCGCATGCCAGGGACGGTAGCGCATTTCGTCCAGCATCCCTGCTGAGGAGGATTGGGCCACAAGAAATCTGATGAGTTTCAACAAGGACAAGTGCAGAGTCTTGCTCTTGGGACGGAAGAATCCCAAGCACAGTTACAAGCTGGGGACCAACCAGTTAAGTAGTAGTTCTGCAGAAAAGGACCTGGTGGTTACAGTGGATGAGAAGCTGGATATGAGTCAACAGTGTTCCCTTGTAGCCAAGAAGGCTAATGGCATATTAGGTTGCATTAAGAGGAGCATTGCCAGCAGATCCAGAGATGTCGTTATTCCCCTTTATTCGGCTTTAGTGAGGCCACATCTGGAGTATTGTGTCCAGTTCTGGGCCCCTCACTACAAAAAGGATGTGGATGCATTGGAGAGGGTCCAACAGAGGGCAACCAAAATGATTAGGGGGCTGGAGCATATGACTTATGAGGAGAGGCTGAGGGAGTTGGGTCTGTTTAGTCTGCAGAAGCAAAGAGTGAGGGGGGATTTGATAGCAGCCTTCAACTTCCTGAAGCGAGGTTCCAAAGAGGATGGAGAGAGGCTGTTCTCAGTAGTGACAGATGGCAGAACAAGGAGCAATGGTCTCAAGTTGTGGTGGGAGAGGTCCAGGTTGGATATTAGGAAAAACTATTTCACTAGGAGGGTGGTGAAGCACTGGAATGGGTTCCCTAGGGAAGTAGTGGAGTCTCCATCCCTAGAGGTGTTTAAGTCTCGGCTTGACAAAGCCCTGGCCGGGTTGATTTAGTTGGGATTGGTCCTGCCTAGAGCAGGGGGCTGGACTTGATGACCTTCTGAGGTCTCTTCCAGCTCTATGGTTCTATGATTCTATTTTGGCATGATATGCTCTTTGTAAATCTATGCTGAGTGCTAGTGATTCATCATCCAAGTATTCACACATGGAAGACATTATACATTAGTAGCTTTCCAGGTATTGTGGTTTGGCAGAGACTGGTTTGCAGTTCCCTACCTCCTCCTTTTTCTCCTTTTTAGAAGTCGGCAGTATGTTATCTCTTTTCCAGTTTTCCAGGGTGTTTCCTGTCATCCAAGTGTTTGGAAATCTTATTGCCTGTGGTGCCAAGATTTATGCATATAATTCCTTTTGCCTCTTAGTGTCAGTAGTTTTGGGGCCCACTGTCTTTATCCATATGAGTCAGAAGGTCATAGACAGAATTAAGGTACTAATAGCTGGACATTTTCCTACAGGAAGCAAACAGATCAGACTGGTGAATGGGAGAGATCGTTGCTCTGGGAGAGTGGAAATTAATCACAATGGATCCTGGGGGACAGTCTGTGATGATTCGTGGGAAATACCTGATGGCAATATTGTTTGCAAAGAACTGGGATGTGGACAAGCCATCAGTGCACCTGGCTCAGCTCATTATGGGCAGGGGTCTGGACAGATCTGGCTGGATGATGTGAGCTGCTCTGGAAGTGAACCCCATCTTAAGAACTGCTCTTCTAGAGGATGGGGTCAGCATAACTGCGGACACGGTGAAGATGCTGGAGTTCTCTGCTCAGGTCTGTTCTGTGAATGCTGTATTGAATCTGATAATAATGGGTTAATAGAAGAGGTGGGTGTTAACAATTTGAGAGACCATAGAACAAGAGGTATCTGAGGATGCCACTGGAGAATCTCCTTGCATGTAATATGGGGTTGCTTGGGGGATTTTTTTTACATATATTACTGTGGAAATATAACTAGTGTTTGCAAGGCTGCCAACACAAGAGTACAGAAATCATGAGGTTGAGCCCATAAATCAGGAAATTGATTAAAAAATATGTGATTCCAAGTTGTAGAATCATAAAGCCATAGGGTTGGAAGGGATCATTGGGGTCATTTAATCTATTCTCCTACCAAGATGTGTCTGAACCACTCAAGACATTATACGTTATTTTATAAATTGCTCTAGAAGCTTCTCAGATATCCAAGACAGCCAGACTTACCTGTAGTTCCCTAGCTCTTTGTTTTTCTCCTTTTAAAATGTGGGTATTATGTTTACAACCTCTCCTGTTATGTCTGTGTTTGAAAATGTTATCTCCAGTGGCTCCATTTTTTTTCAGCTAATTCCTTTTGCACTTCAGGGCAACAACTTTGGGCCCCATCGACTTGAATGTATTTAAATGAGTGAGATTATTGGAATATGACATTACTGTCACAATTTTTTTCCTACAGGAAGCAAACAGATCAGACTGATGAATGGTGCAGATCGTTGTTCTGGGAGAATTGAAATTCATCACAATGGCTCCTGGGGGACAGTCTGTGATGATTCCTGGGATCTATCAGATGCTGGTGTTGTTTGCAAAGAACTGGGATGTGGACAAGCCATCGATGCGCCTGGCTCCGCTTATTATGGGCAGGGATCAGGGCAGATCTGGCTGGATGATGTGAGCTGCTCCGGAAGTGAATCCAAACTTCAGAACTGTTTCTCCAGAGGATGGGGTCAGCATAACTGTGGGCATGGAGAAGACGCTGGCGTTCTCTGCTCAGGTCTGTTCTGTGAATGCTGTATTGATTCTAATTAATAATGGGTTAATATAAAAGGTGGCTGTTAATTAACAGAAAAGGCATGAAATGAAAAGAACCTGAGTACGCCACTGGAGAATCTTCTTGCTGGTCCCTCAATTCTTTTGACATATAGTCTTTTGGAATTGTAACCTGCCTTTCTAACACTGTCACACCCAAGTGTTCATAAATAATGATTCTGACTCTATGAAACAGGAAATTGGTTAACAATTATGAGATTTGGAATCATAGAATCATCCAGTTAAAAAGGACTTCGGGGGTCATTTGATCTATCCTGCCAAGGTGTAGGATTTGTTGTGTTTAAACTATCCAATATAGACAGCTATCCAGCATCCTTTGAAAAATTACAGTGAAGGAGTTTCCATAACCTCCCTAGATAATCTGTGAGGTCAGAAGTTACCAGTGTGGTGTGCTGATGGGTTCTTCTCTCTGTGTCCAGTGATGATAACCCTTTGGTCATATGCTTCCCGGTGTGTTGCACATTGTTGCATAGTAGGTTGTCATAGTGATAGATCTTGTTGTTATAGTAACTGAGTTAGGTCATAAGGGGTTAGGCCAACCAATTTTGGCTGATTCTAGCTAGTTCTGTGTTGAGGAATAAATTGAAAACTTGCAACTGCTGCAACTCTCTGTGTTTCAAGCAATTTCTTTCTAAACTCGGTAACTCCAAACAATATAACAAAGTGGCAATGAGGATGGGCCACCTGTGCTGCCTCTAGCAACAGAAGAAGTAGAAGTCAGTGTGAGAAAACAAACCTTTTTGCTGCTCTGGAAGAGAAAACACTGTTACACTGACCGTGCAAACAGAAACTAAAACCAGTGAAGCCCAGAGTCTGGGAGGAAAAAGGAGAAAGAAAGGTGGTGCAGCAGCATGGCTACACTTACGGGGCTGCTGAGACCTCTTAAGGAGACTGTAGATCAATGGCACATATATATGAGCTTTTTGTTTTTGCAAATGACATTAAGGAAGGGAAGAAGGTTCCAATATTCTTAAGCGTTGTAGGGGCTAGGACCTGCGCAATTTACTGCTCCCTGTTCAGTTAGAGACCAAATCTTAGGTCTTTGAAATTGAAATCAGGATTGTGGAAATTATGCTCCAAAACTATTGGTAATTGCAGAAAGGTAGAGGCTCCAGTAAAGAGACCCAAAAGAAAGCGAAACAGTTGTCCAATTTGTAGAGAATTTGAAAAAGCTTGTGGAACACTGAACTTAAGATGTTAAATGATGCCATACGGGACAGATTAGTGTGTGGCTTGCAGAGTGAAGCTATACAGACTCGTCTATTAACAGAGGCCCAGCTCACCCTACAGAAGGCTGTTGATATTGCGGTCTCCATGGAAATGGCCACTTGGGAGGTGCAATACCTCAGTGCACCTCCTAGGGTGCATAAAGTGTCCCAAGAACCTACCCACAAATCAGTGGGGAGCCAGGAATGTTACCACTGTGGTAAGCTGGGTCACCATGCATCAAAATGCTGATGTAAGGATATAGTGCAGTGTTTTCCAATTGGTGCTCCGCGGAACTCCGGGAGAGGCATAAGGATCTTGCTCCAAAGTGGTTTTTTCCACAAAACGGAAGCAGCTACACTGCTGCTTTTTGCGCAAAAACCCCTTGTGCAAAAAGCATCGCAAGAAAATATGCTAATGACATCACAACTCATGCTAATGAGTCCCTCATTAGCATACTCTGTGCCACAAAAACTTGTAGTGTAAACATAGCCTGAGAGAATACTAATACATATATGTCCCAAACAATGAGCACCAATCAGTTAGTGGCAGGATTTTTGCAGATCGTTGTTCTGGGAGAATTGAAATTCATCACAATGGCTCCTGGGGGACAGTCTGTGATGATTCCTGGGATCTATCAGATGCTGGTGTTGTTTGCAAAGAACTGGGATGTGGACAAGCCATCGATGCACCTGGCTCTGCTTATTATGGGCAGGGATCAGGGCAGATCTGGTTGGATGATGTGAGCTGCTCTGGAAGTGAATCCAAACTTCAGAACTGCTCCTCTGGAGGATGGGGTCAGCATAACTGTTGGCATGGTGAAGATGCTGGAGTTCTCTGTTCAGGTCTGTTCTCTGAATGCTATGTAGAATATTTTTAATAATGTATTAATATACGAGAAAGGTGACCAGATATCCTGTTTTTAAAAGAGCAACCCTATATTTAAGCCCTTTTGCAGGTATCCCAACTTTTTCTTTAAAAACGGGAAAATTTTCCTGTATTTTCTGTCATCCACCCCATCGAACTTTCAGGTCCTTCCGGTGGTCAGATCCTTGTTCACCAGTCACCTGCCCATTGTTGGTGAGTAGGGGGTTCCTGTAGCTGGCCAAGAAGGTGGATATGCAAGGAAGGTGGCAGGTCGAAGATGTGGCATGTAAAGCTGGTTGCTCCACCTGCTTGTTCAAAAGTAGAAGCCCTCGATATGTTAGCTCTTGGTTAGAAGGGCTTTGCTCTCACGCCCCATTTCTGGCTGGCACTGGCTGAGTGCTATGAGATGTGGATTCTGGTGTAAATGGGCAGGTGCAGGAAGTGGCTGGTAAAGTGTCACCTCTGCTGCTCATGCATCAGCTCTCTACGTACCTCTTTTCTCCCTAGTATCTCTCTGCCAAGACGCTTCAGCAGCCCCAGTCCTGGTGGTCCTCTATATTCCTTCCAGCATGGTGCATCCTACTCCCAGCACTGTGTGCAGAACAAGCCTCTGGCCAGAGTGCTCAGCTCAGCCTGGCTCTTTCTTCCTTCCCCCACTGCCTCTGGCTGGGTCAGTGCCTTGGGAAAGCCCTCTGGTCTGGGGCATGGGCCAAGAGGATCCAGAGCACTGCATGTGCCAAACCCCTGCACACAGCTGGCACAGTGGCACTGGAGGAACACAGAGAGCGATTTCCAGCCTATTCAGACCTATTCCACTGCAGCCCCTTCCCCCAGACAGGGGCTCAGGGCTATAGCAGGGAGAAATCTCTCTCCCTGAGCCCTGAAACTGCTGGGGCCAGAGGGGAGGAGCCCCCTCCTTATTGGGCCCAGCACCAAGCTGCCATGGTCAATGTAAAGCAGCCCCTCCCAACTGGCCCCAGAGTGGAGCTGCCATGGCCATGCAGCTCCAGCACTGAGTTGCCACGATCTCATCAGGGAGTCTCTCAGGTAAGCCTGAGGCACAACCCTCTGTCCCACCTGGAACCCCTCCCCATCCCTGAGCATCCTCCTGCACCCCAAAATGCACACACCCAGCCCAGAGCCTGTACCCCCTCCTGCACCCTAACTCCCACACCTAAGCCCTTCCACAAACCTGAAGCCCCCTTCTGTACTGCAAATCCATCATGTCCAGCCACAATCCAGACTTGCACGTTCACCCACAGTTCTTAGACCCCGACCCTCTGTCCCAGCCCTGAGCCCTTCAACACTAGCCCCACCATAGAGCCCCATCTCGAAACCTCACAGTCCTGTGCCCCAACCCTCTGCCTCCAGCCTGAGCTCCCTCCCACACTCAGAACCCCTGGGCAGTACCCCCCACCACACAAATTTTGTCACACAACACCTCCACACTGGTGCGCATAAGAAAATTAATTCCATTCACAGGTGGATAAAATTAGAGGGACACTGCTTCGCGTCCTCTTTAAACACTCCCACAGCCAGCCCTGGGTCCGTCCCCTATGAGTACAGGCTGCTTCATCCACTAGCCACTGCCTCCAATGAACTACCTCTCTGACCAAGTTTGCTGAAGACCCTGCAGTGAGGCTCCCTGGTCCCTGCTGGTCCTTTGCAACCTTAGGGTTAAACCTCTTCCTGCCTGCACTGCAGCAGGTGACTGGAAGCAGCTGAGTTATGTTAGTGGCCAGTAGTAACCTGGAAGTGTTAGCTACCTTTCAACTCTGTGCAGGCAGGAAGGGGCAAGCTGGAGAGAATACTAATACATATATGTCCCAAACAATGAGCACCAATCAGTTAGTGGCAGGATTTTCCACTGTGCCGTGGACAAGGACAGGCCCTCTAAGATACATTTTTATACGCAGATACAAATGGGCTACATTGGCAAGATTTTGCGCAAAAGCAATTGCTTTTGCGCAAAAATTTGCCGCCTGTCTACACTGGCCGCGAGTTCTTCAGCAAGAACACTGATGTTCTAATGTAAGAAATCAGGGCTTCTTGCACAAGAACCATGATGCTCCCGCTCAGGAATAAGCCCTCTTGCGCAAGTGTTCTTACACAAGAGGCCAGTGTAGACAGGCAACATGAATTTCTTGCGCAAGAAAGCCCGATGACTAAAAAATTAATAATGGGTTAATATAAAAGGTGGCTGTTAATTAACAGAAAAGGCATGAAATGAAAAGAACCTGAGTACGCCACTGGAGAATCTTCTTGCTGGTCCCTCAATTCTTTTGACATATAGTCTTTTGGAATTGTAACCTGCCTTTCTAACACTGTCACACCCAAGTGTTCATAAATAATGATTCTGACTCTATGAAACAGGAAATTGGTTAACAATTATGAGATTTGGAATCATAGAATCATCCAGTTAAAAAGGACTTCGGGGGTCATTTGATCTATCCTGCCAAGGTGTAGGATTTGTTGTGTTTAAACTATCCAATATAGACAGCTATCCAGCATTCTTTGAAAAATTACAGTGAAGGAGTTTCCATAACCTCCCTAGATAATCTGTGAGGTCAGAAGTTACCAGTGTGGTGTGCTGATGGGTTCTTCTCTCTGTGTCCAGTGATGATAACCCTTTGGTCATATGCTTCCCGGTGTGTTGCACATTGTTGCATAGTAGGTTGTCATAGTGATAGATCTTGTTGTTATAGTAACTGAGTTAGGTCATAAGGGGTTAGGCCAACCAATTTTGGCTGATTCTAGCTAGTTCTGTGTTGAGGAATAAATTGAAAACTTGCAACTGCTGCAACTCTCTGTGTTTCAAGCAATTTCTTTCTAAACTCGGTAACTCCAAACAATATAACAAAGTGGCAATGA